GAGAGCTGGGACTGTTCAGCCTGGAGCAGAGAAGGCTCAGGGGGGTCCTATCAATGTGTATAAATACCTGATGCGGCCAGTAAAAAAGACAGAGCCAGAAACTGTTTTCAGTGGTGCCCAGTGACAGGACAAGACACAACAGGCACAAACTGAAATACAGGAGATTGGACTTAAATACAAGAAAAAACTTCTTTACCCTGAGGGTGGCCAAACAGTAGAACAGGTTGCCCAGCAAGGCTGTGAAGATACTCAAAACCCAACTGGAGAAGATACTGAGCAACCTGCTCTAGCTCACCCTGCTCTGACCCGTAGGGGTGATCTGGTTGATTTCCAGATGTCCCTTTTGAGGTCTCTTCACAGAATCTCAAAATTTCTGTGATTCTGTGGTATTTGTGGCTGCCACTCTCCAGCATATTTTCCTGAATCTCTCAATTTCATGCCATCTTCCTTTCTTCCTTCTTCAAAGTTTACCCTGACTTACCACATCATTTCTGGTTTCTTTCTCCTTCTTGCCTTCCTTTTTTATGCCCAAGACCTTGCCAGACTGGCTGTTCTCTCCTACTCCACCTGCTCTCCATTTCAGAATTATCCCAGCTGGGCTGCAATTGTTATTTCAGGAGCGAATTTCATCTGCTGACCAGAAATATCCTATCACTTAGATAAAAAGAAAAAACAAAAGGACTGAAAAGGGGTAGCTCAATTAAAATTTTCCCACAGAGAAGAATTTTCATACGTGCCAGTGAAAGGAAAATAAGAGAATTTATGCTTTCCCCCATGCTGTTACCCACACGTACATTCAGTATCTGGAAAAAACTTTCCTCCTTTTCCTTCTAATCTATCCTTCGGTGTTCTTATTTCTTGTGATGCCTTTATCACTTGAACATGTTTATGCTACCGCTTCTTTAAAACACCTGCCTATTATATTAACAGTGTCTATCCCCCTAAGTTGTCTCTCATCTTATGTGTAGACTGTAAGCTCTTTAGGACAGATGCCAGTATTTTGTTCTCTGACAGCACAGGAGTCTCTTAGCTCTTAAGACTGTACCTAATGATAGATGATCTTGTCTGTGCCTTGGCCCAGGTACACACTCTTTCTGTTCATCACATTTTTCTCTGTTTTCAAGACCTATTCTCTGCATTTAAGTACACAAGATATAAGACGTAGTGTATAACATTCAAAAGCAACATTAAAGACTTTGCCATAGTGATGGCTCCCAATGACAGGTTTCCCCCTGCCTTGGAAAGGTCTGGTCCTTCTTCTCCATTGATAACAAATGATCAAACTCATGCTGAATTCTCTGCTGAATAATTAAATAAATAAAAATAGCCCAAATCTTCAAGACCTAATTTGTGATAATGTGGTCATGGAGAGTCCTTTTTAACTTCAAATAGCTTTGGAAAAGATCAATATTTAGACATATGCAACAACTACAGGGATATCATTTTACAAGGATATAATCTTGGACACTCACTCTAGGTTCAAAAAAATTGAAGTGTGGGATAATGACTTTACTGGATGGGACATATAGTTAGAATGATAGAACAGTCTATCTAAATATAGTCTGAAAGGTGTTCCTAAAGTATCTGTCCTTACAGCCAAAGTGAAGGTGTGAAGTATTTTTATGAGGAAAATATACCTTGACAGAAAGGAGGGTCAATTTGTAAAGCTATCGAGGACATTTAACAACTTTATGTCAGGGAATATGTATGCATGGTTGTTAATATGTGGTGAAAACATTAATTTTTATTGTCAACCCTTGAATTGGAGAATCAAGAAATACTGAAATCTGGCTTGTATGCTACCATAAAGTGGGCTTGTCTTTGGAATGGTCACACTTTCTGGTTTTCTGTCCTGAGTGACTACACGTATCACATAATAAATGGTAAATACAGATGAAAGAAGGACGTTAAATAATAGAACTGGTGACAGAGTTCCCAAATGTCGAGACTGGCATTGTCCATTACGTGACTGCCAACATAACTCTTCATATTTCTTTGCCCCAATGATTTCTCAAGTTCAAGCCTTCTAATAATTCTAAAAGTTTGCTTAAAGGGGTAAAAAAAAGTAGTGACTTTCACAGAATGAGCAAAATGACTCCATATTTTATGTTTTCTCCTTAACACATAGTTTAACCACAAGGAATCATTTATGAAAGGTTTTAAGGAGTCCGTTTACATTGTGGGTTGCACAGTCTCCATTATTTATTGCAATAACACATGCTGGCACCACGTCTAACAAAATAGTTCCAGAATAAGCAACATAATAAATTGCTGCTTTAGCTCTTGAATCAGTTTGTATACTGTGTGGTCTTTTTCATAATCTTCATTGCATAGCACTGCAGATTTCCTGATGACATTTTGTTTGCTGGAGCTGCTAAGGGTACGCAGAACCACTGAACTCAAGTCCTGACCAATGTGCTGTGACTAACATGTAATTCACCATTTAACCACTGCTGTACATGATATATTGGAGGTGATATGAACATGACCCTATCCTCAGTGTATTTGGGATCAAGTATTAATCTTCAGCAGAGAGCTTTAAAATACTGTAGAAAAAGCTTTTGATCTAAATGATCACAAATGCACAAACTTAGTAACGGACCTTATTACTAGTTAAGAAAGATTAATTAATAAATTCTGTTCATAAGGACAGCTGTTCCCTCAGAACTGCGTATTACTATCAGAATATTTTACTTTTACAGCCATCATTTAAAATGTGCAAACTTACACATTTAGTGTAGTATATTCTGATGTTATTCTGGCTTTCAGAAATCATTTTGCCCATAAAAGTTCTATGAAGCAAATATAAGACACAGAACAACTGGAAAGGAAAGAAAATCTGATTTATGAAATTTTTAACTTGTCATGTTTAACAGAAAATTTCATCTTTTTGGCTACCCAAAATTTTCTCCTTTTTTGCCTTTTTTTTCTCCCACTATGCATACATGCTTGATTCTGCAAAGGATGATTTACACCAAGGATGCTATTCTACTGCCAGTCACATCAATGCTGACCTGTAATAACTGTATTTGCATTTGGATAGAACTGGCCGCCTTTCTTTGAATGCCACTGGTTGAATAGGGCTTTTGCCAGCAGTTGAATATGGCTCTCAGTCTTTTGTGAAGTTGTCAGATTTTGGGCTGTTTGTCAATTAACATCAATATGTGTCTTTCAAAATGCCATTAAGGTCAGTATTTCTAACATAGAATACATACATGTATAAATATACATACATATATGTATATACACATTCTGTGAAATTAATCCAGGAAGTCACAAACCATGTGTAAAGCTGAGGAAACTCCATGCTTTTGTGTGCAACTGGATTTCTGGTGTTTTCTTATGCCAATATAAAAACTGATTTGTACTACTGACCTTCGATACAAGACAGTTCATATAGCTCGTCAGGGATCTAATTCAAAGCCTGATGGAAAGACTCAGACTGGATTTAAGGCACCTTGGAAAATCCTTCAAACTTACACAGCATAAAATAAAAACTTTTGAATAATACATTTTAAAGCTTAAAAAGATCTCTTTTTTCTTCAGGTTTTTTTTTTTCAATCACTAGATCATATTTTGTAAACAATAAGTCACTCTTTCCATACAATATCCCCCTTTCTGTTCTGAACATGCCAACAGGTAACAGCAGGAAAAACTTTTAAATGTTATTTGTATGTTTAGAAACACATATATTTTCATAAATAACTTTTGACATTCTTCCTGTTCTCCCATGCTTCATTTCTTTCATCATAGAAACAAAAGTACTCAGAATATTTTCTTTCTTTCTTTTTTTTTTTGAGGGGGGGCACGGGTAACAAACATGAAAATAATGTAAGGATTGTTTTTTAAAGCAATCACATTATAATTAGAATATAAATCTCCATAAAAACATATGCTGTCTATAATAAAGGGCTATAACAAAGATATATAGAGGGAGAGACATAGAGGTATCTCTCTATAACAAATATAGCAAGGATGTATCTTAAGGAAAGTACTAAACATGTCTGCAAGGTACTTTTTTGTTATACTATAACTGGTTAGCGCACATCCATTTACAATTGTAAACTTACTGCATTGGAAGTGTTCCAAATGAGTAGTTTTCAGCATGAGTAGAAAGGTCTCTGTTGTTTCACAGCCTTGGCTTTTTTGCTGTGGCTCTTTTTGGCTTGTTTGGGGAAGGGGGACTGATTATGACTAAATATGCAAACTATATCCCTTCATACACAAGAGCAGTCATGCCTTGTGAGATACTAGAGTACCCTTCAGTGAACTTTCAACCTTCCTTCGAAACTTCCAGTACAATAGCCACATATTTGAAATGCAAGCTTAATCAAATCCTGTTGACTTTACCAGATACTCACATAGAGTTTATTTGCAAAGGAGTACCTTTTACCAACACAATAATTTAAAGGATATTATTTCAGTCTGAAGGCTCATTTAAGCAGAATAATTGGCATCAATAGCACTTACCTGATTGTGTGGAATAGAGGTTATACAGCTATTTTCCAGCTCAAAACCATGCAATAGCCATTTTAAAAAAAATAATGCAATGTTTGAAATTTATGAAAATTAGGTTTTTACTAACAAAGCTTTTGTAAGAGGCTTCTAGACACAAGTAGCGCGATTTGCTACACTGTTGGTGGTTAAAAGAAATGTGCCGTATGTAATTATTTACAGAGAGGTACTGCAAATAGACTAGGATCTTTAGATCAGTCGATATGTAATAGTTTAGCCACTATAAAAATTAATCAAGTCATGAGTATTGCATTCTGTCCTAAAAGAATGACAAGCCTCTTTTCACTAAGAGAATTCGGTGACATGACTATCATACTCTCACCAGCCTATTGAACAGACTAAAAGAAACCAGTATCACACAGAAAGATGGATCGAGCATGAATCAATGTGGCAAGCACATAACCAAACAGACATGGAATTAAACAAGAAAAAAAAAAAAAACAAACCAAAAAAACAAACAAAACCAACAAAGATTGTCGCTTAACCTGTTTTGTCAGAGCTGGTATTGATGGTATTGGTAGTGATGGAAGTGAAGGTAGTCTTTGCGCTGTCCTTGGTAGTAACAGATTTCTGCTTATTTTTCATGGCTTCCAGTGCTTTGAGCTTCTTGGCATGTTTAGTGCCTTTGTAGTGGGCCGCAGCCTGGCTCTACAAAGGAGAACAAAATGAACCATGCAATCAGGCTCATTTCTAAACTGGCATTCTCTGTATTAGTACAAATACAGACTACCTTTCAATAATGGGTACCATTCACATTATCCAAGTAGTGACCAAACAGAAAATTACATTTAGAATGATGCTTGGAAAACAATGGAAAAAATACTCAAGCAACCCCAATTTGATAAATACAGTATATTACTGTATAACAGTATATTACTTTCAGACCAAATAAGATTGTTTTAGTCTACTATGCTACCATTAGTTTTTCTATCAAGACTTTTTTTGCTTTTGCGTTAAAAAAAAAAAATAATTCTCAGGCAACAGGGAGGAAGGCACTCTCCTCCCAGTAGCTTTGCACTTTTCCAGTTTCTATTTCAAACTAGAGATTTTGTCAAAGCTTCCTTCAAAGAACAGTTTAGTATTAACAGTGGTATCAGGAACTTCTCAGCAAAGACTGACAGTAAAAAATAAACCAAAAAAACCCCAAACCAAAACGAAAGCCCAAACAAAAGAAAGCAAAACATAAAACAACCTCTTCAAAGCCCATCACCAAAGATTTAACTGAATGTGAGGCAGACATGCAATTAGCTGACTTTCTTAAAAAAAAAAAAAAAAAAAAAAAAAAAAAAAAAAGGATTACTTTTGTCTACCTGCTACAAAAGGTAGTGTTTGAAATTCAAAGTCAGGAGCATCCTTTCAAAGGAGATAGCTCACACAAATGTTGCCACAGTCCCAAATATATTTTGGCTACTTGATATCATTAAGCTAAAATAGATTTGTATATGCATTACTATTAAGACTTATGTAGTACACTGGAAGTATCTTTATTATTCTAAGAGTAAGTACCAACTTTTCTTCATTTAATTTATGTTGCAAATATATTTTAAGAATAATATTTGAAGTGCAAGATAAAACATTATACAAACCCCACTGGAATTAGTATGAATATTCAGAGTTTATTTCTTCTCTAATTATTTGAACTCCTAGAAAAGATAGTCTTCCAGTTAATAAGTTAACAACCTGAAAAACTCCTTATATTTTTATTGCTGAATTTCAGATTTTACTGAGAGCAGCTCCTTTCTTACTTGAAAGAGAAATTATTAAGGGTCTAGAAAAATAGCCAAAATTTAGCTACTACAGAATTGAACAAATAAAAAGCAACTATGCTGGGTCAGCCCAAGGACCCACAAAGGTCAGTATTTTGTTTCTGGCATGAAACAACAGCAGATACTTAGAACATAAAAGAAAGGTAAAGGCTTTCCATTGTGGAATCAGAAGAATTAAAAAAACACCTACGTAATTTAGTGGCTACAAACTCAAAAGATCAAAGGGATAAAAAGACACAGTCATTTGACTCACTAAGCCACTCATGCAGGTAGAAGAATCCTGCATTATCTGGCGTCTCTTAGTCATTAGATCTTTATTTAATGTTATTTAATATGCTGAATTTTGGGGAGATGAATTTTTATAAGCTACAAGTAAATGGAGAGAGGAAGTTCTAGTGAATATCACAATAAGAACATATATTAATTAATCTTGAGATACATGACTTTCAGCTTTCATGAAAAGTCGTGATTCCTTCCAGATGCCTGAGATGTGAGAAGCTCAAGGTGAGTAGGAAAGAAGTGAGAGACCTTGTCTAAACCAATAAACGCATATATATATGTATGTGTATACATGCATAGATATACACACATGCATATGCTTTTGTTGTATGTTGAGATGCATCATTCAGTTTGGTTGAAAAGCCAGTTTCTCTGTACCTAAAATAATGTAAATATTGTATTAGGTACCCTTATTGAAAGAACACTGGACAGTGAAGTTATTAATTAGAAACACCTTGAACAGAAACAGCACAATCATGCACCTTTTACAATTCCCAACACATAACATTGAGACATACTGTAAGCCAAATACAAACAGTCAAGAGATGTTAATTATTGTTAAACTGAAAGACCAGTGTCAAGTTACGATGATGCATTAAAAATTACATTTTACAGTACATCCTCATGTTGCTATCATGTCAAATATTTTTACAGTTTCTAGTAAAATTTAATTATCAGTCAGCACCAGATTCTGACTGCACTTGTTCTCCCTAACTAATAGTGTCATTCATCATATGTATCAGAACTGTAGTCAGAACATGGTCCTTAATACTGAATTATGAATGTTGATACTAGTTTGATACATAGCTCAACTTTCTTCACAGAATTGTTGGTGGAGCACCCCAGGTTTATGTCTCCTGCATTCATAGTTCTCTTCCATCCAAATTCTCACAGCTACAGTTCCACAAACCTCAACTCAAGCAGAGTGTTGGATGCATAAGGAATATACAATGAGGGCCTATGTAGAAATTGGTGACCTTTTCAGTGTTCTGAAATATATGAATGAAATTGCTCCAAAGTAGAAACACATTGCTCAAATTTACAAGTATGATGGCTGCTACACAGAGTTGTCCATTACTCACTTCCCACAGAGCGCTGCCAGTTTACCCAGCCTCTACTTAAAGAAGATCTTTATGCCTTTTTTATTTCCAAGTTTAAATCTCCATCCTCTGTGGGGACATGAAGCCATCAGAGCTTGTTTCAATATAACTGTAGCTGGCACATTAATGGTATTTCTATGTGAGAGCAGACAGATTGCTCCGAAGCATTTAACCAGCACCAAATTAGCTTATGTTGAACCTTTACAACTGAACTGGAACCCTTAAAAAAAAAAAGTCTGTCATTATCTTTCCTTGCAAAAATAAGATGTAGGAAATGGAAAAAGATATAAATATCTTTTCCAGCACAGAAACTTTAAACATGGTACCTCACTGAATCATTTCTTGCAGCCATAAGAGAACTAAAATAACCCTTACTGCTTAAATGGCATTTACTTGTAGCCTACAAAACTGGTTACACTTAAATGGTATTTACTTGTAGGTTAAGTGCAAAAATAAGATAGATCATAAAATGTAATTATTCCCAACTTTCATGCAGAATTAAGAAATATTGAGAGAGAGCAAAAGAGTTAAAGACAAGTTAGTTCTACTTTTTGGTGCCAACCATGATGCTTGAGTGAAGTGACTGTACCCCTTCAGAAAGGTGAGAAGGGGTCTCCTTCTGGAACACTTCAGAGTTCAACAGTTGCAAAAACCAAGAAGATAATATATACATGTTTATATATTACCTTACCAAGTTGTTCTAGAAGTTGTGCTCAGACAAATTACAAGCAGAGGTTAAGGTGAAACCCTGCATCTACAGAAGCCAATGGGAATCGAGGGAGGATTTCCCTTTCCACGTTTTGTAAAAGGGTACTGACATTTATAACTGCTCATCTTGATGGACTCCAGTCCCCTTTGAGAAACAACTGTTTGATCCAAAATCAGGTGTTCTCTCAAATGAAAGAGATTCAGGACAATCCTAAAGGAAAAATTCCCTATTACTACAAAAAACTTCATGATCATGGTCAATCAGCTATCCTAAAAACCCTCTAATATTAAATTCTGTTTCTTTTTAGGATTATAAAAGAACACATTAGAAGAATACATTAAAAAAGAGCTTACTTTCTTCTTTCATCATGGTTTCCAAGTTTGCTCCTCACATCATAGTTTCCATGTTTGATTACACAGAATTAACCCTAGCACTGTGATGACAGGCCACTGTCAGCTAACAAGTGACCCAGTCAGTGATGAAGCATGCGAAATATGTCAAATATTGCTGGTGCAACATTACATTGAATTTTAAGAAACTATATCCATTCATGGAAAAGATGTCTAACAAGAAAGTAAAAGGTAGATTATTACTTCGTATCTGAAGTTGAAAACTCTAGGATCCTTGACTAAATTTTGAGGACTCTGATCATGGAAATTACATGTAGACAAACTTTGGTCTATGGGAATTACTTCAAGGAAATGGCAAGATGTCTGAATAGCAAATCACTTTTCAAGCTTATTTGTAATGAAGTCCTGCCTATTTGAGCAGTACAAGTCAGTTTAAGCATCTCTTTTGCACAACAAATAATGTCCTCTGGTTTCATTTATCTGTCAAATAATTAGGAACCTTTCTAATCCTTACATTTTGTAACCTTCCCAAATTGTTAGAATATAAAAAAATTATTTGTCTATATAAACATTTATTGTGTGTGTATATATGTTATAAACACACAGACATACACATACCATAAAAGAATAAAAAATTCTATATGCAGGTGTAAGCAGTTAGAAAGAACAGCCATAGTGTCAAAACTCAGCTGTATTTTCTTTGCTTAAGTGCAATATTGTACCACAATTACCATAAGGACATCATATTACCAAGCAAATTGCAATGTGTAAAATACGATGAGAAAGATGAATTATTTTAAACAATCCAGACAGTATTGTCTTACAATTACAGTCATCATATCTATATGGAAGTCTTCAAAATAAGTTTGTCTGCCTGACTAATGTACCTGTGTGAATCATATGTTTTCTCACTTATGTTCTTTAGGCATTGGTCCAACAAAAACATCGTGCTTAATTTTGTGCATTGAGACAAAAAAGGGTCTCCTCCTATTCTCAGAAAATTTTCAACTTAGCAGCACTGCATCTTCTACCCTTTTCATAACCCCCCTGCTCCACATCATGTTACCAGTCTTAGATTGTTTTCCTGCCTCAGTCATTCCTTCTAGGCAACACTTTTATAATAAAAGCCAGCTCAAAGAAAAGAACTTTTTAAAAGAAGTGTAGTGACTATGTTCCACGGATTCTTCATCACAAAAAAACAATCCAACTATCCTGCATTATGTCTTTCTCATTTCACAATGCATTTTGAAAGATGTCCATTGTGGACAGTGCTCTGCTCCATGCTCTCATCTGGACAATTAGTAGCAAGGCTGCAGTTTGTCTGCACCATTAGAAAGCCCCAAACAAGGGCTGAGAGTGCTGAAAAGTCCTTTTTGCCCATCTGAGATTTCAGTAGATCATTCATGTCTTTGTTTTTACCAGCTACTGGATGATACCATCGCCT